CTATTGTATACCTACATTGTACCAATAAACTCAATAAAAAGAAAAAAAAAAAAAAAAAAAAAACCTGGACCAGGCTGGGAGTATGGCTCCAGAGTAGAGAACTTGCCTTGTATACACAAGTCTCTGAGTTCCATCCCCAGCACCACATGAATGAATGAGTGAATGAAAATAAAAGCTATCTGGGCTGACAAAGGAAGGAGGTTTTTGTGGCTCCCTGAGAAAGTGACTCCAGAATCCTCGAATCCTCCTCTGACTCAGCAGTCTGCTCCTGTGTGTACCCCCAGAACTGAGTGCTGGTCCACTGCCAGGATTCACAAAGTTTTGTTCACAAAGCCAGGCCAGTGGTGACGTTGCCCAGGTGCCATTCATAGGATGAACAGATTAGCAAACGTGTACAATATTACCCAGGCTGCAGTGGACACGACCTTGAGGACATTCCAAGTGGAAAGATTAAAGAGCTTTGTGTTCTGAGGATTGGGGTCCCAGGCGTTCCCTTGGCTGGCCCCTGCTAGGTCAGGAGATAAAAAGCAATCTGTCCACTTTGCTTCTTAGCCCGCAGCACACAGAGTCTGGGGAGTCTGCGCTGCCTCACGCCGACACCCCCATGAGTGCTGTGGCTGAGTCGTGGGCACCTCCCAGGGCCGGCCCGCAGTCCCCCCTTACCCTGCTCCCACCCAGGGGGCCTCTCCAGGCGGCCCTGGCTCCGTGCGGTGCTGGCCGCGTGGCCTACAGAACGGCCTGTCTTGAGCTTGCCCAGTGGGGAGCACCTCCCAGAGCGTGAGCAGGCATGAGTGTGTCCTCTGTCACAGCCCGCCGTGTGGCCCTCGGTCCCGAAATCTGTCCAGGCCACAGAGTCTGCAGGCTCCCAAGTCTGTGTGAGGAATGATTTCCTCCACGGGCAGACCCCAGACATGGGCTCCAGGTGGCACTTGGAGACATTGCTCTGCTCTCTGCCAGGCATTTCGCTCCCATTTTTTCCAGACATCTATTGTTACTTTTCAGGTTTTAATCTAGCACATGCCGATTGAATCAGCCATTTCCTCACTGTGCCACCTTTTGGCAGATTGCGTAGCATCTCTGGGCCTCACTAAAGATGAGGTCATCCTGGATTAGGGTGAGCTCTAAATTGAAGCAAAAGTGTCGCACAGAGGCAAGGAGAGGAGGGAGGGGAGGGGAGGGGAAGATTCGCGCGGAGTGGTCTCCAGCTCCCCGACAGACCCTCTCCTGACCCTCTCCTGCTGGCTGGCTGTGCTCAGACGGGCTGCCTCCCTCCCCTCGCCACCCAGGATGGGTTGGGAGTTGCAGAAAGAGGATGAGTCCCTCTGTCCCCTGTGTCCTGCGGGGACATGAGGCAGATCTTGGCAACAGCCGCCTGGCTGTGGCTGGCCTGGGTGCCCCCGTTGGTGTGCCGGGCCGTCTGGCCCTGGGTGTGGAACCGATTTATTCGGTAGCTTTGCCACTGATTATTTGCAGGTGAGTGGATGGCACGTGGTTCGTGTTGTAACAATATTTTGGGACAATTAGATTGAAACCACATTGCTGGCGGCCGCATTGGCGGCTGGCCCTGGGCTGCACTTGTGCGGCCCCCACCCTCTGGGCAGGCAGGAAGGGGTAGCTCTCCTCCCAGTCTGCACCCCCTCCAGTCCCCTTCTGGCCTCCCGGTGACCTCGCCTCCAGTTGTTCCAGAAAACAGCTGCTGGGAGATTTCCCAGGGCAGGTGGGAGAGGGAGCCTGGGGCTGGATAGTCACCCAACTGGGAAGACAGCGTTTCTCAGTGACGGCTGCCTGACTCTGCCGCCAGGAAGTCTCCCAGTCTCCTTTGCCCCAGAGGGCATCCTGGCCCCCTCCGGGAAGGGGTCTGTCCCAGGTAACGCTGTTCACTCCCCTGTCCAGTCCCAGAGATGGGAGGAATCTCACTCCCAGAGGGCAGGGTGCAGGGTCTGTCTGGGTGGTGCAAGGCCTAAGCACAGCTTCAAGTGGGGCCCAGACCTGCCCCTGTGTTGGCAACAGATGACAGTCCCCTGGGCAGGGCAGATGGGTTCAGACCCCCGCAGCCTGACCTCCTACATGCCCACTCCGAGACTATGTCTGGGCAGGGCCTGCCTGGGGCAGCAGCCCATGGGTGGCAGCAGGATGTGATAAGGCTTAAGGCGATGACTGTGTGGAGGAGAGCACCCAGGGATGTAGGTAGGGGCCCAGCGACGGAGGGTGGCCCCTGGGTGGAGGAGGGCCAGGGGCTAGAGTGTGGCACTGCCCTGGCGGCATGGGGTCTTGGACCCTTCCATTCTAGAAGACACTCAGGTCACACTGGGGACAAACAGCCCCTGCCAAGTGCTTTCTGGGGCAGGCCTTAGGTGAGTCGGGGCTGGGCTTCTACAGGAAATGTGAGGCTGCTCTTGGTTCCCCTCCTCAGCCCTAACCTAAGGGAGGTCCTGAGAACTAGCTCTCCAGGCTGCTGGAGCCCCTCACTGGCAGACCCCTTCCCTGGGCATCTTCGGGCCCCCTGGGGACCTGATAAGTGGAGGGCTCCCTCTGCAGCATGAGCCCAGCGTCTCATTCTGCCCTTTCCTGTGGGCAGCTGCCACGGCTTCCAGCTTCCTGAGACCTCAGGGCAACTTTGCAAAGAATTTTCCTGCAACTCTGCTCACCCTCACTACTCAGCCCTGTCCCATTCTACCCCCTGGGTCCAGCTCCCTCTGCCCTGCTTTCTGCACCAGCTGAAGCAAATCTTCATGTCCTAGAGACTCTGGCCAGGTGAGTAGGGGGAGACACAGGGCCAGGGGCAGAATGCCAGGACATGGAGGGTGCAGGGCAGGCAGCAGGTGAGAAACTGTGGGTCCCCATCCATGGGCATCCAGAGCAAGCTTTGCTGGAGCTCGAGTACCCTTTCCTGGCCTTTGTCTGCCAGAGCTTTTCCAATGCTTCCAAAGGGCTTTAAAGCCACTGTCCTGTCCTGGGACAGTCAGCTCAGACCTGCGTGGTGCAGTGACACCAGAGCCTCCCAAAGCCCCAGCTGTCCTTGCCCAGGGCCCTCCCCCAGGGCGGTGTCCCTCAGGTGCCCCCTTCCCTTCTGGAGGGCCCAACGCCTGCCTCCCTAGTGGACATCACCTCCTGTCCTCTGTCGTTCCACTCTCCTCATACCTGGAGTTTCCCTTGGCCCTCAACCTAGAACCCTGACTTGGAAGCCCACACCTGTAATCCCCCCCAGAACACGAGTCCTCACCCACAAGTGCCGGGTGGTGAAAGGCAGCAACCTGTGAAAGCACAGATCCTGGAGAAGGATTCTGCTCAGCCTGCACGTGGCCAGTGTGCAGGGGAAGTGACTGGTCCACTTGGCGGTTACTTCTGCGGGTACAAGACATTCTGTTTTTATTTTTTCACTACTGGAGTTTGAACCCAGGACCTTCACACTTAGCTTTATGCCCAGCCTTTTTACTCTTTAAATTTTGAGACAGGGTCTCACTAAGTTGTCCAAGTGGTCCTTAAACTTGCCATCCTCCTGCCTCAGCCTCCTGAGTATCCGGGAAGCTGGGATTACAGTCCAGAACTACCCGGCGTCTCCATCCTTACGGTTTTACACAAAGAACCATAATGTTCACGGCCTCTGCACTGAAGCATGTCCTGCAGCAGAGCCTTCTAGGGACACAGTTGGTGCCCAGTGACATGGAAGGTTCTGCTGACCGAGGTGGCCACAGGGGATGTGAGGCAGTTGAAGGAGAGGAGAGAGGCACCAAAGGGAGACCTGGGCCTGGGCTGGGCTGGGGATTTAGCTCAGTGATTCCACTGCTTGCCTTGCAAGCGCAAGGTCCTGAATTTGAGCCCCAGTACCAAAAAAATGGGGCCTGGGCCACCCGGGGTCACAGCTCCCCACCACAGGGGCTCCAGAAACCCAGGGCCCTCACACTGAACTACATCCTCAGCCCATTTTTATTTTTTATTTTGGAACAGAGTCCCTCTAAGACACTAAGTTGCCCACGCTGGGCTCAAACTTGAAATCC